GATCGGTCGGCAAGTCCCCGATCGGCATGTTCTGGTCGTGATTAGGCTGTACGCGGTCGACGAATGCGATCGGCATCACCTTGAGGTGTGAACTGCCTTTTCCGATGAATCGCTCTTGTTGCTGCACATCGCCTTCCTCTTTCGACTGCGGATTCACCTCTCGAACCTCCGGAAGGTTCTTCGGTGCTTGATCGCAATCGATCTGCGGATCTGGATCGCGATTTGTCTGCTTCTTGTCGGCTACCGTTGCTGGTGCCGGATTCGACCAGGTTGTCGAATTCCAACGATCGCAATCGGCCTCCATCCACCGACACAGCTTCGACAACATTTCCTCTACTCTGTCCCACTGCGCCATTCGTTGCTCATGGGTTTCTGCCATTTCCGATTGAAGACGGGCTCTGATACCAATCTGTTAAGGTTCAGACTATGAAACTCAACTTTCCAGCACCAATTGAGCCTTTATTCATTCCTCACCGAAAACCTGAATACAACTTTGGATGATCTTGATTCATGAGAGGATCCCAGCTCTCATTCCCCAGACAAACCCTAACCCTTTCTCCAATTTCTGCGTAATTCCTTTTAACTATAGTCCAGATTCAATGAATCTGCATAGCTCATACATCTATCACTATCAATCCTCTCTCCATATGTACAGACCTTTCTCCATATATACGAACAAAGGAGCTTAAGGGAATGGTGGGCTTGACGATATCAATTATGGTTTTCTTGCCGAGGCTTGAGCAATGTTTGAGAATCTTCTTGATGGTCGCAGGCTGTCAAAGTTTGCTGCATCCTACTGCCATCGAAACAGAGAGAGAGAGAGCGAGCGAGTGAGAGAGTTGGGTGCTGATATACTCAGGTAAAAAAAAAGAGACTTCAACATTTTTTGGGGTTTTATAATATAGGAAAACTATGAGAGAATGTGTCTGAAAAAACCTGGATACATAACACGAGTAAACGCAAAGTTCTTCCACTTTACCAAAAACTGATTCTACTCATTTGTAAGAATGTGAGGTAAAACTCGTGTTTGTTAAAAATTAACCTACGCATGAACCTTTAACTTCCCCTGAATCGTTTTCTTGTACAATGATTTTTTTTTTGTTTAAGTATAGCAACTTGAAAAACCAAGAGTAGTTAGGGATCTGCAAAATGAGAGAAATAAAGACGTGAAATGGAGAAAAGAACCCATGTGAAAGTGGCCATGCTATGCCCCCAGGGCAGAAACATAGGAGGAGAACCATATCTAAATGAGTGAGCTTGCAACGTTTGGGTGAGTGAGGTGGATGGCCACCATCTTTGAACTGAAGGATCTGTCAATCCTTGAGAGAAGCTCCCCGAATGCATCATGGAATTCCGTTCTGACCAGATAATATATATCAGAAGTTGCCATGTAATACAAACTCCCTTTAGATGAGTCTCGCTTTCCCATCTCGATCTCTAGTGATCGAGCACTCAAAGAGGATGTGTGTGATGCCCACACAATTCCCGGTGATAGAGCAATGTCACGTGTAAAAATAACATCATAATGTAAAAGTCCGAGATATTTAAAACTTTCTTCTTGTGTATGCGGCGGAAATATATCATACTTTAATATAGACATTTAAGTATAGAATATCCATAGGAGAAATGTTGTATGATCGATATATAGTAATCACAAAGTGAAATTGTACAATGTTTTCAAAACTCATTTTACTGTACCATAACACGTGTTATCTAACGAAAGAATAATTTGTTCAAAACGTTATTCCTTACAATAGATACATCCAAAACCTTCTTGGTCTATATACATAACATACCAAAAACGTCATCGCAAAGCCCTCTTATCCCGAAGCGTAGGATCTGTTGGATTTGAGTTTATTTGATAGAATCAAAACGGGTCTAGCCTGTGAGAAGCTCAGTCCGTGACAAGTTTTAGAATATTGAGATAATATTCTTGATTGATTTTGAAATTCAAATTGGATTCAAATCTGCCGATTATCTATCAAATATGATTGAGAAAAGATTAAGATAAAATCTAATTTGAATTTTAAAATTCAAATTGATTTTATTTTGAGATTCTCTCCTCTGCTATAAATAGGGGTATTAGGTTAGTTCATAAAACACAGAAAACAAAAACAAGCATTCTAGAGAAAAAAAAAGAGCATTCACATATGTGCTCATATCTCTCTCTGAGTTCGCTTGGTATTTGAAAAGCTTCTTCCAAATACACGGTCGTTGTATCCTGGGAGTTCACCGTGCTCCAATAGCCTCGAAGCTTTAGAGGTGGCACGAAAATCGAACTTAAGAAAACTGTGTTTTACAGGCCTCGACAAAATAATCTTTTAATTTCAGGTA